CGCCGAACACGTTTCTTTTTGTCGACATTAGTCCTTCATGGTCGAGTCTTCTCTTTCTTCAGCGCCGACGACCACGTGGAACACGACCAAACGCCGCTACCGGTACACTAACGGCTCTCCCAGGGTTGCCCCCTGCGGCGATTTGGCCCCTAACCGGTTTGCCGCTTGCGGTGGTTTGACCGGTAGCTAAGGTCTTTTGGGACGGGCCGATCTCCAGGTCTCGTGGCTCAGTTGCGCTTATAGGCCTGGTCGCTGTCACCATCTATTGAAGAATTAGGCCACTGGTCGAAGGCTTACAATATATTGCTTAAAGGATAAAACTTTTATAATCGAACTGCGTCCAAGTTCGCAGTTGTATTAGCTAGCTTGTAAATGCAACGTAAGATATCTTGATTTACATAGCGTAAGCTTTAAGATTTTTTTTTGTTAATGCAGCCATACAGTGTGTTATGGAAGTTGCCTAGTTTGCACTGTCATTTATCTTGCTTAATAGTTTGCCGTTTTGAATAATCTGCGATATTGCTTAAATGATAATTGGTCACTCGGATATAGCTTGGCTATATTTCATCAAGCCCGTAGATCTCCGGCAGACATAAAGTACTAGACATGGGTTCCTAAAATTGTGTTCGACATCGCTCTGAACAGAAAAAAAAAAAGCGGGCTTTTTGCCTGACCAGCATATTGTATATAGGAGGACAGCACCTTTATCACAACAATAAATTGATCGAGATCGCAACCAAAAAAGAGTTGTAGCTGCAGCAGTGAGGTAGCCAAAATTATGTGCATCTGTTTCACATGATGCTGCCCGAAGGTACGTACACAGTCTTAGTGGGGTAATTTATATTCTAGACTCGAATTCTCCTTGAGCCCGTTCCCGTCGGCATCGTTTAGTTGCGTCGGAGTTGAGGTATTTGGAAAGGCACGCGAGCGACAGCGTCAAGCTGGTAAAATAGGCGCAATAGCTTTAGCGGAAAGCAGAGTAAGTTGTGCTGGGAGCGAAGGGTAGAAACCAAGAGAGATACACGGCGCAGAGCGAGTAGCAAAGGGGTACAGTATACGCAATAATGCTGCCACGCCAGTGTTGGTGATACCGTGCGCCGCAACTGCGGTCGCCGCCGGAGTTTGGGGGGAACATGAGAGAACGGCGACGTAACGCTTCTATTGCTTAGAAACAACGGTCCGGAGAGTTTGTTGACGTTTTCGTTCTATTCATTTTCACTTTCCTTTGCACCCCTCGCCTATTAACGAAAACGGGGAACCCGCTGAGACTGCGCCAGCAATTCGCCTTCGCTTGCAAGGGGCACAAGTACGAAGTCTCCGAGCTGTTACTCTTGTTGTCGCCTTCCGCAAATCGAAGTAATGGTTTAGTAGTCATTTGGAGGAGACGGCGGCGGGGGGGGGGGGGGGGGGGGGGGGGGGGGGGGGGGTAGCCGTCGCGGCGCTACCGATCAACACGTTAGCAACATAGTATCCCGATGCTACTGCTAAATAAGGCCAAATTTCGTGCGTGTATTAAGGTACACATATGTCCAACTATCATTACATATATACATACAAAGAATCTGAAACGACATTAATTCTTGATAACTAACGCCATATCTGTAAATCAACTCGAGTTCTCTTTGAAAGGATATGCCAAGTGATCGACTAGCGAGTATATTAGAAAGAAATGGTATGTTCATGAGGATAACATCCACGGAGTACATCTGTGGACGATTTCGAGCATACCCTGAGCTAGCTTGCTATGTGTGGACAAATCTTTTAAGTAATCACCTTTTAATATTGTCCTAAAAAATGTAAAGCATCAGAATTCACGAGCATCAGCCTGTAGGACGCCAAAATAGCCATATCAGACGCCTATAGAGATTATATTCTTTCACCTTATTTTTCTTTCTCGTATATTTTTAACCATTATCTGATGACTTCGAGACCAGCGATGACCGACATATTTATTGCTCATGGTTGCCTAGATGCTGCAAATAATAATCAGCCGCGTCGATACGTGGCTGTGATGCAGAGGTACACGTAAATACACGTATATTTATCTAAGTTAAACGTATAAACTAAAATTAAAGCCTAGCATGAATATTAAGCAAACATTTACAGATAGAACCTATCTATGCGTTTTCGACATGCATCGTTTATATTTTAGGCTAGAAAAAACCTCCCTCGAATGAACCTTGCACATACGCTTCTCTTTTTGCGTGTAAGATTTCAGTAAGTGATACGTCTAGTTCAGTAATTGCAGGCAGAAACACGTGCTAGAGACTACGAGTTTTCTTCGTCAAACATTGCCAAGTTCGTATACATTTCATGAGTTTATATTCTAATTATTGATTGCAATATTTTCGTATCAACTCCTCATCGAATCTCGAATTGAGTTTCTAGGGTCGCATCACTACCGATATGCAATGAACGTATCTCATCGGAACGTAGTTCTCGGTCTTTTCTCAAACAAAAGAGCATCTTCCTGGCCATTGTGCTGCGTTGCCGTTGTTTCGACAGACTAAACAGCGACTATCGAGAATGGGTCAGTAAGCATAGCTTAATCCTGGCTACTTGAGCTTTTTCCCGGTACCGTTACAAAGAGTAAGGCGTCCGTATAGTATTCTGCGTGAGATAAATAAAGATGGAGCACGACAATACGAGACCAGGAAAAACTGCAGACTGTGAGCTTGCCTTGCAGCTTGGGAAACGGCAGATAAAAATACGTAATGGATGATGCCGTGTGTTCTTAAGGACCACCCAGCTGCTCGTACTTCCTATTTTTTGGTACGAAACAAGTATCGCGCAAACAGTCGACGCTACACTTGAAATGTAATCCTGCAAGAGTTTGCAACGAAGGTGCCTGCACAGGGTACAGAGCTTTAAAAACCTCATGGGGAATAAATCAGAAGGAAAAAAAGGAAAGTTCGTCATCAAATAAGTGACTGGTGACTGGTACGAGAAGGTCTGAAAGACAATGACAAGCAGCGTTAGCTGGGTATCGGGCAGACTGATTTCCATATGTTTAACCATCGTTGTGTTATAATTTAAGCCTCTTATTCCCTATTATGCAAAGTTTACATAGGATTGATTCCAAGACGAACGCGAAAATACATAGAAAAATGTAAGCGATACATACTTAGAAGAGTTGCTCTTGCTTAGAAGAGCTCTCTCTCTAGTTTAAACGGCGTTGTAATTCATCTTGACACGTAAGACGTCGATGGTTTAATCATACGTCGTTCTTTTGATGCGTCGATGAATGTGTTAAGTTGAAAGGAAATATCCAGCAATTTTATCCGTAAAGTAGGTAAATATCTGTCCTGTTAGAGCGGATACGGATAGCAGACGACCTAGCAAGAAAAAAGTCCTGATCAGTTGACAGTCGGGTAGGGTTTTTCGAGGGTTGAAGGGGTACGATCAGATGCTAAACGTTTACAAAGTGCTTAAAATTATGTTATCCTTGGTCATCCTTTGTCCAAAACGATCGTGGTTTAGGGAAAAGATGAACGACTTGTTTCATTCGACTTAAAGCCTGTACAATAAGAAATGTTTGTATTTACTCAAAAATAGTTAAAGTGATTGAGTTATACTATACCGCAATTTTGCAACGAAATAGAATGTTGCGCACGTCTTTCCTTTTGCAATAAGATTAGGCTTATAAGGCATTTAAAACTACTGAATAGTTGAAAAATAGGACACACTTTTCTTTGACACCGCGGCGTAGCTTGCTGCAATAAGGTAGGCCATGGTCACAGTTTAATTTGATTGATCGAACTGAACATTAGCATATTTATCTTTATCCATTAACGGGATGTTGATATTAATAGGGAACTTGTGAGCTTCCAATCAAAGACGTCTGGCAAATGCCGCTACATTCGCTCGGATAATTAATCGATTTTCGTTAATGCATAAAGAATTGAGCTTTAGAGCCTTACTAGCGTGCTTTTCGTTATTAGTGGGGTGGTATTATTAAAAATTTCTAGGATCAAGATATCGCATTGATTGCCACATTTAAATTGACCCATTTCGTGCTAATCGGCCGAACGATCAGCGTAGTTCCAGTTATTTTAACGTGCCGACTTTGGAGGTCTTCGCATCTATTAAAACAGAGCCTCTTATCATCTTATCTATTAACAGCTAGCTGCGAACATAAAATTCTCTGCTAGTATTTGACTTGCAAAGGTAAAGTGTCGATCATTTATTCTCTCTAAGGGAATACGTGTTTCTACCTATCTCTCATGAACATTGTGTGTGTTCTTATAGACTGTAATTTTAACCTAATGGAAATCCATTGCATTGTTCTTTGGCAATTCGTACTCGACGAGTACAAATAGCTTTCTATTTCGGAGATATATTGCACAACGATTGTTAAACTAGTTATGCACACCAATGTTATCCTAGTTGCTGCTATATGAGACCAACAAACTTAAAAAACACCCAAAGAAATTGTGTAAGTCCAACTGAACAAGTTAATTAGAACAAATAGAGAAGTGTCTATAAAAAAAAAAAAAAAAAAGCATGTAAAGGTGTGATAATTGTCCTGCGTGACAAGAAAAGAGGTGTGTTCTTTTGATATATCTTGAAACAGTTTAGTACGACTATATCGCGTTAGTTCGCCGCGTTCCTAAGGGCTCTCACGGTGAATTGCTTTTAACAGCTACTCTCTGATTATGGATTCGTGTAATTTTCCACATTCACACAGGTTGGGAAGAGCATGCCGTTGCCAGGGCTTAAAACAGCGGCCTCCAGCCTTTTTGAACCAACAAACAAAAAAATTTCAACTACAATAAATGTCATCCCTTGGGTTATGTCAAACATTGTTACCTAAAACATTTCTAATACTAGTAGTAGCTCATTCTTTGCATTCACCTTTTAGAAGATCTGAATTCGATCAATACATTGATTCTCTTGACCCCACGCATGCAAAGACGTTCACGCTCAGAAATTACATCCTCGCATCAGATCTGTCCTAAATTCAAATTAGACCAGTCAGTTCTTGCTGTTTTTGCTCTTACCATTCAACTCTTCAACATTTATCCTTCTGCAGCCTCGCATGTATACGATACCACGGGGATTCAACGAAATTCAAGGCCCACGACGATGAGAATAACGTCACGTTATATCCTGCATGACCAGTGGACAAACGCGCAAAATTTAACACTTCGTCATGTTTTCAATTGTAACCTCCTTGGCGCTTCTCTACGTAGATCTCACACATGAAACACTTATTTATCCTTTATGTGTACTTGCGTTCAACATCAAAGCAGAAAAGGCCAAGTAATGTTTTTATCGTACATCTAGTAATATTGCTCGGCGAGTTGATTTTTTAGACCATATCTCACGTTCAGGCGCCACCACAAAACCCACTTCAGTTGACTACGCTCAGTCAATACCTGGTCAGATCTCAGACAGCACTTAATAACATAATGCACACAGCTACAATGCTATTTTGTTTCATCCATACAGCCAATGAAAGAACCGTCCTTCTGTTTATTGATTTCCTCTAACCATTTACTGTTCGTAGGATGACGGACTGACTGGCCTATTCTTATCGTTACTGTTGTTGTCGCTGGAACATCTCAGCTGAACGACAGATAATAGCCAGGATAGCAGGAGGCTAAAACACTTAATGGCTTGGGTTCGCTTTCGGTGCTGTCCTATGAACGCAACGCACACGAGCAGCTTACCTAATGGCAAGGACAAATTGACGGACGTAATATCATCGATGCACAAACTCTTCGTACGTTCTACATGGTTATCTGATCGCCAGCAAGGAATTGAATTAAGAATAATTTGGCACCGGTTAGAAGCACACGCACCGGTAGCGCAGAACATGCCGCGAAGTTTATCCGACACAACTCCGTCACCAAGCCCACCTGCTGCTACCGCCGCCGCCGCCGCCGCCGCCGCCGCCACCGCCACCGCCACCGCCACCGCCGCTGCTGTCCTAAGGCCACCCTCTCCACTTTACCGTACCCTCTCGGTGGCCTGCCCTTGCCACGTCGCCCTTCTCCTCCTCCTCCTCCTCCTTCTCCTTCTCCTTCTCCTTCTCCTCCTCCTCTTCCTTCTCCTTCTCCTTCTCCTCTCCTCATTCTCTTTTGCTTGTGCTTATATAGCTTTTGTCAAACAGAATTGACAACAACTATATAAGCACAAGCTGGTAGGGCTGTTGCTGGTATAGTTTGAGACGTTAGCTCAAAAAGATTTCGCTTGTGAGAGTCCAATCACGAATTACTTCTTGCAAAAGAACTGAAATGGATAGAGGATAATTGTATAATTATAGAGATAATTGTCCGCTTGGTCAATCCTAAGCTGATTTATAGACTTGGAGAAATTAACGATGTTATTTGGATGTTGTTATAATAGCTTATTTCTACTGATAGACTGATAGTAAAACGCCATCTCTACGAAGCGTTTGACTGCTCAACGATGGCTACGTATCATAAATAGTCCTATCTCTCAAAGTTCACTTACAGTCGGTTTAAGAAGCACATTTTATCTATGGATGCTTTTGGTCCGCCCGTAAAAAACTTCTGCTTCCGGTCGGAAAATGGGAATACGGATTATCTTAGCATATTTAACTTACATTTGTCTTAGTTAGATTTAATCATTGTCTTTCAGGAATAATTTATCGATAAATATTATCACGATGCATGGTATTTAAACAGTGATCGCTCTCCGGCAAATAGTGCGCTATTGACTGCTGCGAATAGGATCTTCTGGATTCGGTAAATGAGTATCATAAGCTTAGTCTGCTAACGTAATAATACCAACAAACTTTGTTTCGTCCTCAATATGAGCCCTTTTAAAACCAGATTAAGGACAGTTGTTTGCATATGTGACTGTGACATGAAGTCAGTTATTCATCCAAGGTCAGCGCACTTCGTTTGACCAAGGTACTCCTGAGATAACAAGAGCAGCGTATTGGATGGCACTTCGGCCTTATGGTGACGTTTCGAATGTTCGCGCTTAAATAGAGCGCCACCTTCGTTTCAGAGTAAACCTTACCGTTTCGGCCTGGCCGTATTTCCGCTTTGCTGTGAGATGAATTTAAGTTACACAAAACTCGAAACACAAATGTGCCCACGCAACGCGAAGATACAGCAGTTTAAGCGTTTGGTTCGCCACCTAGCTTCAATCTTCTTGCACGGCGCTGGTTGCAATGCACTGAAAATGGCGAGAAAAAACGAATACTTGTACGAAGCTTGAACAGAGTTACATTCAAGATATACATATATATATATATATATATATATGATCATTTATTGTTTGCTCTACTTTTTCGTATAGCTCCACGAGTCGCTTGGCATTCCGATGTATCTGTGCGATGTATCATAGAAGAGATTAGATTTAGGCCTCTTACTAGATGTACAATTGGAAATTGCTGGCTTACGCTTAACAAATTAACGAACAATGTATAGTTAGACCATGATGGTCAATTCGGTAACGCGCCGTAGTGAAGTTGGGGATAGCGTATCCTCACATGAAGTCTCTCGGCTCAGATTTTGAGCCAAAATTTTGAAATTTTGCTGAGTCATTAGCGTCGGCCCACCGCGCAGATCCGCACAAATATCGCCACATTTGCTATTATAATAATATATATTTAAAATGTTTGCAACGGTGCAAATATTAATTAACAGTGTGGCGCATATGTACATTAAAAACTAGAAAAGTCTAAATAGATATTGATATAGATGAGACAAACAGGGGTTCCAACGTGCTGATGTGTGGCTGTTTGTCGTTGTTGTGAAGACGGTAAGTTTGCAGATGTGTGATTTTTGAACTTTTCGTTTGATCAGCTTGAACTAAATTACAATTCGCTGCAGCGCTATGCTGTGTAACGCTATTGACACCTGTTAAATAGAGTTCAATAGTAGAGGCTTAAGTGGATCTGTCGGCGATTACTTGTCTTAGCCTGATTCACGCATTGGACTCGTTCCACTCTCTATTTCGAAGCTATAATGCTTAATTTATTTGTAAGTTCTAAGAAATGTATTTGTGTATACGTAATGCATACAGAGACCTAAAGACAAGTAAGTCAATGTCATGCCCGAGTAGGGTCCGTCGTGTACATCGTGCTACCTCTACTTGGAAAAGATCTCCTAAAAATAATTCTTGCTCTATCTTAATTCCCTTTTTGTTTCGACAATTTTTACATTCTTTTCCCAAGCTTCCTTCGAAATACGTTTAATACTATTTCGAAATTGCCCGCCCTGCGAATAGGCTCTTAATGCTAACTCTGCTTATGACACAATCCATTCTAACTGTCAGCTACGCTAGTTAAATAGCATAAGGCTTTTATTTCGAACGAACGTTCTCCACAGCCGTAATTGCCAAAGAACAGCTTTCAGCCTCCAGTAGCAGTAAATCATATCTATCTTTCCACAAATCACATCTCTTATTTTAATATTTATATATTTGTTGTTTCCCACAAGAAGAAAGAAATTCAAGCCTAGGTAAATAATAGGAAATCAAATTATTATTGGTACCTTAAGCGACTTTTGATTTCCTGTTCTTTGATGTCGCCCAGTGAAGTGAGAAAGGTTGCTACTCTATGTAGTCTACGGCGCCGGGCAACACGATGTAGGCAGTTAAGGGTCAAGCTTGTACTAGGAGTGCCAAAGCGTACCGCAGGGTCTCTTCGCGGCCGCTGCAACCTATTCGTGAATTAGGAATGTCAATTGATTATAGCATCGTACCAGTCCATCACAGCAATTGTGATAAACGAGCGCATTCGAAACTGCGGGGTCTACGCAGATCGGGCGGTCGCTGCGGTTATGGCCGCATTAGGAAGAGGCGGTGGTGGAGTTGAAAAAGCTGCTAGCCTGCAGAGAACCTGACGCTGCCTATGGTAGTGTAATGGCACTGCTGTTCAAGAGAACAGAATTTTTCCACGGTTTCTAGATGATTGGGACCGAAATGCTCGCAGAATCACAATGCCGTATTATCCTCACTTGTACATGCAGTACTTGCTACCGTCAGGGTTACCGTCGCTGAACTGCGTCTTGCCCCAGATGAACCCCCTAGCAACAGACTGTGCGAAACTAGCACATCGGATGCTTATATTCGTATGTATTACTTATACGTGTCGCTAATCGTAGCGTGAAAACGGTAGCCTACTTCGAACAGATAGAAGGAGCCAGACAAAAGTATTACCATGTAATAAAATATAGTTGCGACAGCAAGACCCGTGGGGTTATGGTTAATGCAATTATATGTACCTGTCCTGCTACAATCTATCAAGATGGCTAAGCGGCTCTTTTCGATCAAGTCTGTTGTCGATAACGGTGACACTAGGTATACTGGTCAGATGAATGAATAATGGTTAACATATAGAAGAACGTATAATTTCGACAATTATGCATGTCACGATTTTTTGATCCTTTTTGATATAGGATCCATGTTCGGTAGAAAATAATTTAATTTCTGGAAACGTTGGCCATATTTTAACAAAACTCACTGCAATTGCACGACTGAAAAAGTAAAGCTGTAGGTGTCATCATGGCAAAACAGGATAGATTGCTAACATGAGGTAATGTGCCGTAATGAGGTAATAAGACGTTTTATTGATCAAATTGAAAATCTGCGTTTTGCTCTAGCATTCAGTTGAATACTCAGGATCTAGTCCGAATGCGCCTAGAAAATTAAATGCGAATAGGTCGGCCTTGATTTGACTATATCGGCATGCTGAACTTTTCTAGTATACAAGCGAAGGATAATTTTGACTTGTTAATCCGACTCAAAAAAAAAGATCGCTTGAACACCATATCAGACTGCTCTGGCGGCATAGCATGTAGTAAAGGAAGCCCAGCATACCGAACTGATATGCTCCCGAAATAAAGCGGGTATCGTATGAATGGGTTCATACTCTCTGAGACTCGTGTGCGATGTATTTGTCTCTTAACGTAGCCACTTCTTGGTCTTGCTAATTGCCTCACTGTGAAGACGCATTATCGTTTGAGGGTTAGATTGTCACCAGTATAACGATCTTCTGCGCCGGTTATTCAAGATCGTACTGGCTATGCAATACGTATTCGGCTTCAAAGGCGAAGCGCCTTGCAAACGTCAGACCTAAGGGACCTGATCGTTATTAACAATACCCTATATACCTGAAAAATCGGCAACAGAAAATGAACGCCTTTAGGAATGGGCTTTCATTAGCTGAGAAGCAAATTGGGTAAATTATTGAATCAAAATAAAACAATACATAGATATTTGCCCGCCTGTATCACCTAATTGTATACCGATGTATAGGGTATAACCATTAACCACTTGCAATTTTCCGTGAATAAATATCATTTGTGCCGCGTTTACTAGTCGACATTATATTCAATCAGTCAACCTAAATGGTCTCTTACGTTTTACATCCCGTATTTTAGCCACTATCTACCTGTTTAGATGACTGTCTCCCAGCGCGTCGTTGTTTGTGTCTAGCTGCATCGCCAATAAGTTTTTTTCTTTGGCATTTCCTTTACTGGTAAAGCATGCGTCTTCCACTCGACTCAACTCAAAATAGATGCCGTTCTATTGAACAATATCGTATATTCACAAAGAAAGACAAATTATTATGTTTTGCCGCGAGTTTCATTATAAGTGTTCGTGATAGTCTACATGTATGCATATTTAACGGTAAGGCCATGTTAGGATATAGTTTACACATGTCTGAACGCAAGGTCGGTAATTTTATCGTTGTTGTTGTAACTTACACTCTAGTTAACATATTATTCAGTTACATGTTTATACTTGAACTCAAGACAGACGTCTATGACCGTAATATATCGAGGTAAACGCAACAC